CTGGTTGTGTATTTCATTTAGATTTTGCAGTCATTGAATATGACAAGTCTATGGTTATATTGAGTAATCCCTTCCTTTACCGTCACAAATATCAAATACTCGGGGATAAGGATTTACTGAAGATCAATTGCAATGGGAAAGATTTTTACATTCCAGTTACGATGCACAAGGTTGAAAATAAGATTGAGGTACATCACGTTAATGCAATTCCATCTATTTCTGAAGAGACAGATACAGAGTTAAAAAAAAAAAGCGTGATTAATCCTAATATCATTCCAGATACCGAAATATTAGAGTTCCATTCTAAGGTTTGGGATACACGGCAAAACCTAAAGGATGAATTTCTTAGAGTTCTAGATTATGCTGAATATCTTAAAAAGGAATTGATTCGAATTCAGGATTCAGCTTGAAGCTCTTTAGTATATTTTCGCAATTGTAATATTCTGGCTCGCACTTCATTTTCTGGCACTGATAAGGTAGACTGATTGTTTAAGATAGAATGATGTACGGTTTTCGATTCTGATAAATTTCCACCTTTAGATAATTCTACACTAGAATTGACCTTTTTTCTGCTAGTCTTTTTTGACACTGGTTCGCTCGAATGAATTACTTGCTCAGAATTTCCAACACTTGATGAGCTATGCTTAGGAGAGATTTCTAGTTGGGGTGTCGAGATAGATGAGTCATTAAAAGCCATTTCTATTCCAGGTGGATGAGGATATATCCGACCATTTACAATATCATCATATCTATCACTACCGATTTTATAATCTCTACATATTTTGCGTTTTCTATTTGGTATCTTTTTTGCCTCCACGTCCCTTATTTTTTGGATATCTTCGGGAGACAATTTGGTGGCATTGGAGTTGAGATATGTTCGAACTCTGGATTTAGTTCGGGTTTTAACCATTTTAGAAAAATATATAATGATATAAAAAAAATGTCTGATTTAAATCCAGGCAAACACCCATTTATTCCTAGTATGTTATCGAGCAAGAATTGAGTAATAATCGGGCACAAATCAGGCAAAACCCGGGTAATAATCAGGCAAAAACTGGGTAATAATCAGGTATTAATTAGTAAAAAGCTGATTCGTAATTAGTTTTCTTTGATAATAATTTTTTTGTTAAACATAATTCTATTTAATTATATGGCACCAATACATACCTTAAATAGTGGATCTACCGTTGCCGAAAATTTTCAAGGGCGTGGATATAAATTAGATAGCACTAGAGAACGTGAACTTGAATCTGAGCGTAATGAGTTACTCATTAAAACTGAATTTTTTGCTAATAAATGTTCTGATTTTAGAAATGCCAAAGCGCTTGCAGAAACACGATCAGATGGGCTTGAAAAAGAGTTGAAATCAAAAAATGAAAAGATTTTACGTCTCCGGAAAGAGTTAAATCGAACCAGCGATGCCAAAATACAAAATGACTCGAATATAAAACAATTCAAAGAAGGAATCAAACAACTCAAAGAAGAAATCAAACAGTTACAGAGTAAAAACACTAATCTTGTATCCCATTATTCTCTTAAAGAACTTTCTCTTACTGGATATCAAACCAATTATTACAAAAAAATGGAAGAGGCGACCTATCTTCAATCTAGAATAAAGTTATTGGAAGAGGAATTATTTTCGGCTCAGAATGATTCATCTCTAATAAAATCCGAGTTTTTGTCTCTCAAATCTAAATTAGCTGAATCAGATCAAACAAAAGATGAATTGGTGCAAACAAAAGATGAATTGGTACAAACAAAAGATGAACTATCTTTAAAAATCGATGAGGTGGAACGTTTAAAATTGGAAGCCATATCTCAAAGTTTCCATGATCAAGTAAAATTTCCATCAGATAAAACAATTGCTGGGGGGTATGAGCCTCAAGAAAACGGTTCTAAAGTATCTAATATTCCAGTTGATAATAAATCTAGTTTAGATACAAAATATCCTGCTCCAGAAAAAAGTCTTCGTAAATATTTACATGAAAATATAAAAATGCAACTACGAAAACCAGAAGTTTCAGCTACGTCTCCCGAAATAAAAATTGTTGATACTAATTCTCCAGATAAAGATAAGTCTGGTACCTCTTCATTTAAAGACGATACATTACAAAATATCGAGCCAATAAAGATAGACGTTCCCAGTGGAAATATTCCCAACTCCTCTTTGGATAAATCGAATTCCGGGATTTCAGTGGGAGGAACAGAAGCAATTCCTGCTATGACAAGCGTCTTAGGTTTACCAAAAACTGTATGGCTATTGCTTGCTTTGTTGATTATTGTTGTATGGGTTAGATTTATTCGACCTAAATTGAATGCAAATAAAAAATCTTTTGATTCGGTAGTACGTAAAGATCCCGAAAATTCAGATAAACTGCTAAAAATATTTTCTTGATAGTTTATCCTATTATGGTATAAATAAATAATTTTTTCTTTATCTTAGAATAAAGGCGTATCTTAGTATTAGGTTAAAATTGAATTTATACTAATCATAACCATATTAAACATTTATAATAAGGTATTAACTAACTACTCGCCAGGAAAGAAAAATATAATAATGTTTCCACGAAAAAAATATATAATAGTCACACGTAAGAAGAAATCAACTCCAGTGAGTATTGAATCCTTTAAAGAATTAAACTTGAAATTTGATGCCGTTATTGCTGAATTTGAAAAGGAAAAGAAAACACTCATTGATATTAATGCTAAACTTCATGCTAGGATTGTTGAATTAGAACATGACAAGAAAGCGACTGATGCTCGAATTCGGAATCTAGTGGAGGAAAATGGAGACCTATATTTTGATGTAAGTTTACAAAATAAAGAGAACGATACTAGATTTGCAAAATTAGAACAGACTCAAGATAGAATAATTAGTTTCTTTAGTAATAATCAATCGACTCCAGTGAGTATCGAGTCCAACTTGAAACCTCTTACCGCTGAGCTTAAAAAGCAATTGACTCCAGTGAGTATCGAGTCCTTTAAAAAAAAATTAGACTCGATACTTGATGCCGTTATTGCTGAATTTGAAAAGGGAGATGGAATATATTGTTTCAATAATATTATGGAACCAATCGTTGATATTAATAGAGCACTCACTGATGTTAATATAGCGCTCATTGATGTTAATGCCAAACCTTATGCTGGGTTTAAAGCGTTAGAAAATGATGATAGAGAGTATGATGAAAGATTGCTGGAGTATAAAGAAAGATTGCAGGAGTATGATGAAAGATTTCGGGAACTAAAATTAAAGAGTTTGATGCTAAAAAACGAAATTAGAGAATAATCAAAAAACGTATGAGTAGTTTCTTTAGAAATAATACTCTGATACCTTGACCACGGAATTAAAAATTTTAATGTATATAAAATATAATCAAGTATTAACAATATTGAGAATGGTGGTTTGCATATATCAAATCAATCCCCGTATTCCACGTATTTAGAAAACTTTCAAGTAGTAGTCGATCAGCTTCTAATATGCATGGTAAGGTGGGTTGCTCGGTTACCATTTCATTTTTTCTCATAGTCTCAGGTGTACCAATTTTTTCTGGAGCTGATGCGTGTTCTTTATATCGCATATGATAAACTAACTTATGGAAGAACGTATCATATTTCTTGATAAATTGAACAAGATCGTCCAGGTGTTTTGAAAGATCAGAGCATATAGATTTTTTCATATCGTCACTTACTAAAAGCTTTTCATTTTTAGTTGATAATCTAGCATATATCATAAACTTTTTCCATATTTTTTCTAGTGAATTAGTTTCCTTAAAATCTTCGAAATTCAGCCAATTTCCATGTAAGATCTCGTATAATTTACCAATTACCGGGTATAATAATTTTCTCACTATTTTGGTAGCTTCCTTATAAGCTCGTTTATATGCATAACCACGCTCGAATATCATATTTGACGTAATTCCATTTAATTCATTTACATATTTTTCAAGCCATTTTTTGGCTTTATTCTGAGAATAATCATCAATTTGTTTATATTTTTCATCTTCGCATTTAAGTTGCATAATCTTGTCTGAAGATGGCGGTTGGTATCTATCATCGTACATGATAAATCGGGCACAAAGGCCATTAATTTTATTTTCAAAATAATATGATAAATCTATATTCTTTTCAAGTTCTTTTACGATATCAACAAATTCCATTCGATCTCCCTTGGTTTGATGCAACCTTTTTCCCGATAAATCGAAATACTTATCAGACTTTGTTACTATATAATTAAAACGTTCACCCGATTCTGGAATTTTATTTTCATAAAGGGGCCTCATTCGACTAATGAAACGTTGGATAGGTGGATTTTGTACATTGGCTTTATAAGTGGCTGATTCTATAAACTGGTCAATTTCCCATTGTTTAGAATATGTATCCTTGAGAATATCTTCAACGATTTTATGTAACGTTCTGGTGTTCTCTATTTCCATAGTTTCCCACATGATTCGCTCACCAATATCTCTAAAAAGCTTAGATTGGCCTTGTTTTACGGTATCTATACCTTTTATAAATAGTTTTTTGGGTTTAAAGTTTGGGACATCTACATGCGGAATTCCAAAATATTTTTTCTTTCCGGTAAATACTACTGGAAATAAAACTTCTTCATAGGCCATTTTAAGATATGTTGTCCTGGTTGTTAATCTAAGATAGGTATTCACTTCGTTGCGCATTTTTTTCATTACATCCATAGTAATACAAACCATTTGTTTCCAATATTCTTCTTTTGAAATCCCATTATCATATGCTAGGTCGCATTCTTTATAATAATTATCGGGAGCTATAAGATATAAAGAATCTGTGTCGCCATATTTTATTTTAAATCCTTTCTTTTTTACATATTCTGCGACGAGTTTGATATTATGCTGTCCGGCTGATGTAACACCTCCAGCAAGCTCGCGTTTAAAGAAAGGTGAAAGAGCATTTCCGGCTTCCCCATAAAAGGTATTCATATATTTTTTAATTGCTTTTTGTTTCGAATCCAAACAAGCGATATCAAAACAAATGGAATTATATTCCACTCTTTCTTCTTTTGATAAGGATTCTCTAGCTTCCATATGGTCTTTTTTCTTCACAAGATTGGAGAGTCGTGTTTTCATTTCATTTCGTTTATTAAGCAATTTTTCTAAAACCAGTGGATATAAACCTTTGTTTTCATTTCTATTCTCATGGCGTATGGCCCAAGCACGTAAAATTCGACCATTGAAAGGGAATTCAATTTTATGGAGTGTTACATTTTTCTCCATTAAGGAATCTGCTTCTTCGGATGTTAAAATCATTTTATCTGGCGATAAATTATAAGTCATGATAATACTTGGATATAGGGATGCAAAATCCAAACCTGTAACTGGACGTTTATTTTCTAGACCTTTTTCTGGTGGAAATACATAAGCTCCAGGAAATTTTCCCGGTTCAATATTATCACAACGAATCATAGTAATTAGTATATCTTTTTCCCAGGCTTCGGCACCCAAGAGATTACATACCTTCATACCCCCGGCATAGAAATGCGAGTCAAATAAAGATACATAAGCTATAGAGGCTTCCTCCCTATAATCGTTTATTACATTTCTTTTTACCATGAGCCGTTGACAAGATATGGCATCGACAAGACAATACTCCGCAATCTTATGTATATATTTGACGGTATCAACTGTGGAGGTTTTCTTGTTTTGTTCGTAATATTTTCTCATATGGCTTATTGGCATATCTAATTTATTACCAAGTCTATAGATTTTTAAGTAATAATCAAGTGAATTTTTTTCAGAACGGGGGTGTAACTTTTTAAAAGATACTAATACATCAATTGGCACACAACCAGGAAGTTTAAGGAAAGTCGATGTGAAAGTTTCTTCTGAAGAGATTTTTATTTTTACGCCTTCCCGGTTCTTTATTTTTTTGTCATCGTTATCTTTTTTCCCTTTCGAATTCTTTTCCCATGTTGGTTCCTTGTGGAAGAAATCTTTATTAGAAGGAACGCCTATTCCCCCATAGTAATTCCAACGAAGGATACCATCAATAGTGTTCTTTTGGCGTGGGTTTCCCGACATTCGTATAAACATCCAATCGAGGAGTTTTTGTTGAGTAGCTCTTTCTATTATAAATGGCCAATCATATTTAGAACCATTGTACGTGATTTCGATATCGGGGGCCAATGCTCCCCAACATAATGCAAATGCTTTTAATAGATTCCTTTCATTTCCACAAACAATTGTGATCCATCGTGGGTCCGGTATGGTATCTACATCAACGAGACAGATTTGCTTTAATGTAGTAGGATCATCTTTCCAATGAACAGTCATACAAATCATGAATACGTTGTCTTCTTTATATCTCGCCATAGGTATCTGCTCCAACCCACGTGTTGAATGTGTTTCGATATCCCATGTAAGAACTAATGCCCGGTCATGAGTAATAAGTGAAGAATGATAAGTCTTATTTAATACTGTGGGATCTTCTACATGTCGAAAATTATTAATAGATACATAGAAGGCGTGTTCACAGAGTGGAGAATGAGCACTGTAAGGCACCCTACCATTGTTGTATTCGTAATTAGTTAATAGAGCCCATCCAGAGAGTGGTATTCTATATTCTCGAGCTACTTTTCGATAATATGCACTCCTATCATCTGAAGCCGTTTCTAGTTTTTCTTTTCGAATGATTTCTAAGGCAGTTTTTCTTTGAAAAGTATTTGTTGTAATAATACGAAGATACGACTTTTTTTCCGAGTAATACCTCTGGATTGGAAAAGCTTTCACATGCTCTACTAAAATTTTATTTACATCTACGGTTTTACTTTCGTCATCTTTTCCATTAGAAAGTATATTCTTTATTTCGGTTTTAAATGAATCTATATCTTTATTTTCAGGAACACGGATATCAAAGAATACTTTAATACCTGAAATAGTTACTACGGCCTTTTCTCCGTTGACAAGACATCCATAGATACGTAAAACATAATGTGAAGTATTGTTTATATACTCATTATATTCTTCAATATCAACGGGCATGAATGGGATATCTTCTTTATTGTTTAATATTCGTTTAATGATTTTTGTTGAGCCATAATCATCATTTTCCGCAACTATTTCATTACGGGTGGGCAAACCTGGTAAATAATCCTCTCCATTGTATCGAAATACTTGACCTGCTTTTTTACTTTCCGAGATATGTAATTCACAATCTGTGCCGTTGTTTTGGGTTTCTGCGTTTTGGACGTTCATGTTGAGTTTACTTTTATTATTTCGAAAGTATAACTTATATTATTTTGAAAGTATATTATAAGTTATAATAAAGTTCAAATTAGAATTATTTATTTAGAAATATTAGTGTTAGACATAAAATATACACATTAATAGTTAAACTAGATCCGCTAAAAATTGTATTATAAAAATTTTTAGATATGGCGTTTTATCGTTGCTCCTATATTCTTAGAACTGGCGAGGAATGTAACCGGGGATGTTATCATCCAAAGGGGTGTAAAGTTCATAGGGATTCCCCTATACGTATACCTTGCGAAGAGTGTGGCAAGTTAACTCGGTCTACTTATGGTTTTTGTGAAGATCATTCTGGCAAGTATCGATTCAGAGATCATTATCAACGGAAAAAGCTAACAAAACTGGCTCAGAATGAATTTGAAATAAAAGAGAATCCGTCCTAGTAAAAAAATCCGTCCTAGATAAATTTTTAAATGGGACGAAAAAAATGCTTGCATGGTATTTTTGAAGCAAATGAAAGAGTTCTAGACTACCCGTCCTAGTTGTCCTAGTAAAATTTCGGAATTTCTTACTTTATTATTTTTTTTTTTTGGATATACATATTAATATATACACACATATACCATATAGAAAAGGTTGCATTTTTTTTCCTAGAATTTTAATTTTTACTAGGACAACTAGGACGGATTTTTATAAAGTATAAAAGAACAAGATAGATTAAGGAAAAAAAACTTTCTCCTATAATATATCCCGTCCTAGTTAACTTTTTTTTACTTGGACGGAACCTGGACGGATTTTTTATTAGGACGCGAGTAGATCCATTTTAACCGCATTCTAGGATAACAAACATGAGGTATAACATGTCTTTGGGTATAATTTAATGATATTTATTGGTAATAATGATTTATACTACACTTTATTGATCATACAGAAATATAGTTACAAGTTTGATGAGGTGACTATTTTCTTTTTTGAAACTTTTTATTTTCTGGAAATGCCCTCATGAAACTGATTCTCTGAACTTTTGAGATGGTTGCGAAACTTTTAACGGACACCACTTCGTGAGTAGGTTTAACTTGATGTTGTTTCCGAATATCACTTCCCGGTTCAAAATTACCCATAGTGTCGAGTGTTGGTTGCTTTGACAATTTTTGCGACTTTGCCTTGCTAGCAATAGGAAATTTGGTGATGGTCTCTTTTGCACGATTTTCAGAAGATTGTGGACCAGTTACAGAATAATTCCCTTCACCAAATTTTTTATCCATAATATCCATTTGATTTTTGATTCCTCTCCTATTTGCCATAGGCATATAGGTTTCGACATGTGGTGTTCCTCTCGGAATTGATACGGCTAGAACCACACCGGGTTTTACTCTGTGTCCATCTTGAGTAGCACCATATCCACCAGCAACTTTCAGATCAGGAGACATATAAAGACCCTTCTCGTGTGGCCAGAGTCCTTGTTGAGACTGTTTTTTGAAGCCATCCCTTATAATAGATTCTACAGAATTATGGCTAGTACCATGAAAACCAAGGGGTTTACTACTATTGGTTGAGGAGTCACTTTCAATCGACCAAATACTTGTATAACTTGCATTACTGTTATTACTGTTGGTTGAGGAGTTGCTTACTCTTTTTTCTTTCTTACTTGACATTTTTTTCGTAGAACAAAAAATATATCCTGCAGTTCTGGCCGAGGATTGTGACCACAATTAATATATAAAAAGTAGACGGAATTGCAACTCCGTTAGAAGCCAGATAACGGTATGCAGATTTTGATCACAAATCTATAAAAGTCTCGTCACTGAAATGAAGATCTAATTTTATCATATGGTGATATGCTAAAAAGGACGAATTATGCTAGATAAGCTCAAAGCGCATATTGTTATGCAAATGATATTCTTAAAAAGGACAGTGGACTGGTTAATCATTAGATATCATTCTGATCACCTGACTTACATGGGACCAATCGTAGCCCAAGTCGGGGCTCAAAGCGGGAATTGAACCACAACGCAGTGATTTAAATATATGGAAAAATTAAAAAAAGCCAGACAAGTGGTTGAAATTACGAATCAAACTCAAATCAACCATAACCCAAGGCGCATGTCGGACGGCATAACCTGCGTAATAACAATGCCATAACCTACGAAAAGTGCGACGCAAATGCAAACCAATCGTTCTTCCAGGTACGACGCAAATGCAAGCACGTCGTGTCTCGAAGTACGACGCAAATGCAAACACGTCGTGTCTCGAAGTACGACGAAAATACGAATCAATCGTATAAGTAGGTAACTGTTACCTACTGCTTTCATATTGTAATCACTATCACCAATATTTGACGGTTCCATAACATATGGGGCACTCTAGGAAAACCAGGCTTCGAGTTCGTGTTATGTGTAATTTTCATAAACTCGAAGCCTGGTTTTCCTAGAGTGCTCCCATATTACAACATATAAATTTCATCATCACCAATTCATGTGACTGTGTAAATATTATTGGCTAATTGAAAACTTTTGAATTTTAATAAATTGTGACCATTGGACATTGTAATTATCATTACCATTACCATTATTGTTGTTATTATCATTGCTATCATTATCATTATCATGTCTCAACCAAAAAAAACAGCTATTAGTGAGCAATTGAAAAGAGAAATTTGTATATATTACCAAGAAAACATTTAGAAAACTCATCAAGAAATTGCAAATTATTTTAGTGAAAAATTTCATTGAATTTTGATAGGTCATCAGTAACAAAAATTTTACATGATAAAGAAAAATGGCTAGATGCTTTATCTACAACCCATCTTAATACTTTTTGTTGTAGACAAGTGAGGTTTCCTGAACTAGAAATAAGCAATGAACATATGGATTGGACAAGTCAATGCAAGTGGCCTAATCATTGTTGTTGTTTTTTATATAATTATTATTATATTTTATTTTTTTTCATGTCTCTTTGTTCAATTATTTCTGATGATCTGCAAGTGTCCTTAATATTTATGACCAGTGAGTGTATCACTTAACAAATGGAACATTATAAAGCTAATTGTGATGATAATAGCTAAATTTGATCCCTGAAATTCTTTTTGTCTGGTTTTGTTGCAGCATGCCCCATATGTTTGTTACCATTATTAGTGGATTTTTGGAAGAATATTGCATGGTTATTCTTGCCTTTTCTAGAAGCAAAGAACCATTATGTTGGTTTGAAAGTGTATGAGTTGCTATAGCAGTAGATTTTGAAACATTCTTTGATCCTAAATAATAACATTAAAATATTGCAAATTAATAATTGCAAGTGCAAAATTAATTATATTTATTTGTCACCTTTTTCTGCAAATTGATTTTTTTTCCCATGTGTTTTACAAATTGTGCAAAACATTCTCTTTATTGCTGCATCATATTTTAACCATTTATATGTGTTTAGCCATTCATGATGAAAACTTCTTCCTGATTTTTAAAATGCATTTTTTTATTTGACATGGTTTTCACTTAATTCACTTTTTTTATTTATCTGAGCCTTGAATTGTTTCATTTATAAATGCTTCACCCCGAATTTCAGTAGTCAGATTATCTAATTCTTCTTATTCTACACTATTTATTTATAATTTATTTTTTTGAATAAGGGAAAACAAATATACATAAATTCATATTTAAAGTGTATGTATTTTTAAATTTAATAATTTAATAGCAGTGAAATAAGATTTAAATTAATACTTTTCTTCTGAAAATTCAAATGATACAAATTATGGTTCTTTTCTAAAATATTGTAGTGATACACATATATGTATACATTATTTGGTATAAAATTTTTTAAAAATAAAAAGGAAAAATATCCGGCAACACTTTTTTTTTCGGAAATTAAAATTTTTGAAAGGAAAATCCGGATTTTTAAAGTACTATTTCCAGCCCTGGTTCCATACATGCTAATATTCTATACAAAAAAACGCGAAATATACGGAAAATTTATATTAATTTTTCAGAACTGTACCAAATAATACTTTTGTTTATTAATGGATGCTCGTGTTCCAAAAACAAATTTAAAAATTAAAAAAAAAAATTTCGCATCTTTAAAATTTTAAAATTTTAATAATTGGACAAAATATATTTTTTATGCGTGATTTCATATATGGTGACATATACAAAAAGTCAGAGTTATGAATTTATCGAATTATTCCAATTATCGAGATTTTATTATTACTATAAATATGAAATTATCGAATAAAATTTTAATATAAGTGACACTTGTTCTTGAAAAATTATGAATTTAAGGAATTATGAATTTATCGCATATGAATTTAACGAGCTTTGACTGTAGTAGGTGTGTTACGAAATTCCATAATAAAATTTGCATTAGCTTTCAAAATTGACAACACATAATCTTTATTTACTAGATTCAAAAGGGTGATTGATATAGTGCCATTTTAATAAAGGCATTCGAGTTTCAATGAATTTAGTTTCGATTTCGATTTTAGTCGAAAGTCGAAATTTTTAAGCAACCCTCTAAATTTATGTTTAACCAGTTTTTAAACTGGTTTTTTTAAGCGGTGATCTTGAAACCAGGAACAAGGACCGAATCGAGCCGAACCAGTAACATAAGAATAATGGATGGTTTATCAATAATTTTGATAAAAAAAATAATTAGAATGATTAATATTGCATAACATACTCAAAACAGAATCCAGATAAACCATTATGAGTTTCATTAAAAAATGTGTCTAAAAAAAAAATGATTATTTTAAAAGAAAAAAAATTTTTTATAATAATAATAAAATCCAGTTTGAATCCGGTTGCTATAATTTTAACCGGATTTTTCAAAAATAAAAACTGGTATGGTGCAAGTCACCTAGTCCCGCAACCTGCTGCGCCTCGTGGCCAATTTTGGGAAAATCACCAAAACTCAGAATTTGTAAGTTATGCTCAAAAATGCAATAAAATTTTATATCACGTGACCTTTAATGGTGATACAAATTAAAAAAAATATTTATATATTAATATATAACATTGCTAAAAAAAATTTCCTTCTTCATGTGAAGAAGCCAATGCTCCTGCGGAGAGCATTCTTTGAGAGCTT